AAGATGGCGGGGTGCGGGTCCGGGCTGTGCTGCTGCTGCTGCCCGCGCTGCTGCGGCGAGCGGGAGAGCCGCACCCCCGAGGAGCTGGTACGGCCGCGGCCCGGCCCCGCCGCCGCGCCGGCTCTGGGAAGCGCCTGAGGGCGGGCGGCTGGGGGGCGGGGAGCGTTGAGCGTTGCTATGGCGCAGGGCCCGGTGCCTCCGCCCCAGGTGCCGGCGCCTCAACCCGCGCTCGGTCCCGTGCCTCAGGGCCCGGTACCTCCGCCCCCGGGTCGGTGCCTCAGCCCGCGGTACCTCGGCCCGCCGTCCGCCCGGCGCCTCACGGCCCGGTGCCTCAGGCGGCGCCTCATGGCCTGATACCTCAGCCGCCGCTCGGCCCGGCGCCTCAGGCTGTTCCCGCTCTTTTGCCTCCTGTTGGGCCCGGTATCTCCGCCGCTCCTGCCAGTGCCTCGGCCCTCGCTGTCCCGGTACCCCGGTCAACGTTTGCTTTGGTTGGGCCTGGTATCGCAGCCCCTGCGGCTGGTGCCTCAGCCTGCGCTGCTGCTTCTTCTCCCGGGTACAGCACCCCTCGCAGCCGTTCGAGGACAGTGGCTCTGGCAGGGGCTCTCTCCAGCTGCCCGGCATACGGGAATGCTCTCTGTGCAAGTTTCTTGTCCTGTGCTTCCCTGTAACCTGTTGCCGTGAAGGAAGCTGGGATGTGGGTTTAGTACTCTCCTTTACTATGCTGTGGGGAGCTCCCATATAGAAGTAAGGTAGCGTATTCTTGTTGCAGGGCAAGCTTTAAGGTAAGACCCTATACGGTTACCCCAAAGTAAGTGGTGGTCTGGTAATCCATGCTCAGACTTGATAAGCAATAGTGGCATAGGCCTTCCCTAATTTTGGCTTTGCTACCAATATTCATGAGCACCTGTATATGCATTCATTCCCCTGATGATTTTCCTTTCCCATATTTGTTTTTGCAGACAATCCTAGGAGAAACTCATGAAGAGGAGGATGAGATCCTTCCACGCAAAGACTATGAGGTGAGAAATTAACATGAGGAGAACTGCAGACAGGTTTCAATCTGTCTGAGTTTGTAATGAGGCAGGTACTCAAAATGCATCACTAGTGAGATGGCATTGGCACCAACAGAAATACCAAGAGTTGCTGCACTTGCAAAGAACTGCTCTTCATCATTACATGTTTCTGGGTTAAAGCCCTGTGAGTAGAGCTCAAACATCCACTGCTTAAGCCAGACTGTTGTTGAGAAAATTCATTTTCAGAGTCTGTTGCATTGTTCCACTTTTTAAATGAGATTTACAGGCTGTAGTGGTCTTGTTTCTTCATGACTAGAAAGCATCTGTGGCTGCTTGGTCACTGTTGCCTTACTGCTGTCTCTGATGTCATGCTGGCTCACAGCAGATCTTCCCATCTAATAGATCCTGCTTCTTAAAGGAGATTTTTGCTTTTTGCATGTCTGTATGGTGGCCCTGAGGTATTTAGAGCAGTTGCTGTCAGTATGGGTGTCACCAGCTCGGCCTGTTACTGCTTGGCTTGAAAAGGCGAAGTTGATGTAGATAGAAGGTAGTGGTGCTTTGTGAGTATGACTAGGCCGTTCTATACTACTTTTAACTCTCTGCTGTGATAAGCTTAAGAATTTATGCTGCTCATCTGGAGAGGAATTCCTATCTAGTGTTCATGTTGTAGTGAGAGGTTAAATATGAAGATCTAATATTATCCCCTGCATTGTCAAACTGGAGGCACTTAAAGAAGTAAAGTCTGAAACTGTACAATGTGACTTCTTTAAATTGAAGTTGTATTAATCAGTTGTGTTCCTGTTTGGTTGCCTATCTCCCTCAGCTTGGGCAGTGAAATTGGTCTGTTCTTTCGCTTCCTGATTCTCAGGCTCTGGCTTTGCTGGAAATATGTAAATGAAGTGGTTTCCAGGAATTTTTTCTTCTACTGTTGTTTGCCGAACCTACTGTGGGGGTGGTAATGACTTCTGTAGCCTTTAACAAGTTCTTCTATCCATAGTTTTTTGCTCAATCTGTTGCAGCTGATTCTCTTAAATTGACCTTTTGGCATTCTTTCAGAGCTTGGATTATGATCGCTGTATCAATGACCCATACTTGGAAGTTTTGGAGAGCATGGACAACAAGGTAGGATCTTGTTCTTTCTTTTTCATTAGCTTGAGAGCTGAAGCTGCAGAAATTGCCCAGAGAAATTTGCTCAGAGAAGTTGTGGATGCCTTGCCATTGGAAGTGTTCAAGGTCAGGTTGAATGGGCTTTGATCTAGTGAAAGATGTCCCTGTCCATGGCAGGGGAGTTGGACTAAATGATCTTTAAAGGTCCCTTCCAACCCAAACCATTCTATTATTCTAAATATGCTCCACTGCAGGAAGTTTTGTGGGTTTTTTTTTCTTCTCCATGAAAGAAATTCTACGTGCTCTCTGGGTTTCTTTATGAAAAGAATAAAAACGTGTGGAGATTATAGCTCCCAGCGTCTCTTCTGATCCTCAGGTTTAAAGTGAGCAAGGTGTTCAGCACTTTCAGTTCCCTATTTTCAGTTTGCTGTTGTCACCATCTTCTGTTGATTTATCACTCTAGCTGCAATTGAGCTGTGGAGCCCAAACCCAACTTTTTCTGATCCCCGTTTCGATATTGCTTTGACTTGGTTGTTTTTGTTTGTGTTTTTTTTTTAATCTCTTCCTAAGCAGAAAGCCCAGAGATACGAAGCAGTGAAGTGGGTGATGGTTTTTGCTATTGGAGTCTGCACAGGACTGGTAAGGGTCATGCTGTTTGGGGATTGAGGAAAATTCAGGAGTCTAAGCAGGAATAATTTAGAAGTTATTGTTGAGCAGTAAAGAGGAGGAAACGTTCTCTGTCATGAAGTGGAAAGCTTAGTAGCAGGAGTTGTCTTTTGGAAATTATAGCACATTGTTGCTAGATTATTTTCCAAGAAGCCTTTTTTTCTTTTAGTATTTGCTGTGCTTTCTTTGCAAAGTATTCTGGCAAATTCTTTAATTCTGCATACAGGAAAACTTGTCCAAAGTGAGCACTTAATGAAAAGGGATGCCAATTTAGAGTTAACTGTATTTTTTTTATGTTTGGCAGTACTAGTGTCACTGCATGTGCTTTCTAGAGTGTTTGAAAATTAGCTCTGCTGACTGTATGCCTCAGTTAAACACCAGTTTGCTTCTGTACCCTGAAGTATGTTGTGGGTGTTAAAAATGCTATCATATTAGTACTCTGAAATGCATCTCTTCAGGAATAATTCTAGAATCAATCTGTCCCAGTGAGAATGAGGGAGGCAGCAAATCTGAGTTTCCAAAGTTACGTTACTCCGAATGACGCTTCTTTTGCTGCCTTCATCCTCTGTCCTCCCACGTGTGCATACTTCTGGAGACTAGAGACTTACTAGAGAGCGGTGTCTGTTACTTGCATGTAGTAATTTCTGATGGCAAATCTGTCATCTTTTTCATAGGTGGGCCTCTTCGTGGATTTCTTTGTACGTCTCTTTACCCAGCTCAAGTTCCGGGTGGTACAAAGCTGTATCTTTTACCTAGTGTATGGGTTCATGTTAGACTCAAGTGACCTCTTCCTTTCTGTTGCCATGTTTTGCTCAGAACAGCTGACTCTCAGACTTTTGCCATCAATCATGTTGTTGATGATTAAGCAAGTTTTCAACTTGCCTATGTAATTCAGCCCTTGAAACCGAGAAGTGTTTCCAGTGTCACTTATGTAGGCAAAGGGTAATTTCTGAAAGGTGAGTGGTTTCACTTCCTTGTAGCTCAGTCTTGAGGTCTGAAAAGGAAGCCTGGCTTCCTGATGGGTTGTGTCAGCTGCCCTGGCTGGATTAGGAAGTGTGACTTTGGCTTCTGATGCCAGTGGGACCACCAGACAGTACAGAATGATTGTGTATTGGTGGGGGGAATGTTGTTGTTTTCCTTGACCATTGTTGCAGCGGTGGAGGAATGCACTGAGAAAGGCTGTCTTGCCTTGTCCTTGCTGGAGCTGCTGGGGTTCAACCTGACCTTTGTTTTTCTCGCCAGTCTTCTGGTCCTGATCCAAGTAAGACTTAGGTCCACTGCTGCTCCTTACACAGCCTCCCTTTCCTCTCACACAGGTCCTGGGCATGAAGTATCCTTGCCAAAAGCACTTTCTGCCCCAAGACATTGGATTAGCTTCACAGTGCTAATTGATTTAGCTAAGCAGGGTCTCTTGGTCCTTTGCTGTGCTCTCATTAGAGCTGTAATGAGATGTTGTTGGTCAGCTATGAAATCGATGCAGCACAGCGTCAGTGTTTCTTTTCTGCAGCCTGTAGCAGCTGGATCAGGAATTCCTGAAATTAAGTGCTACCTCAACGGGGTTAAGGTTCCAGGGGTTGTGCGTCTCCGAACGGTGGTGTGCAAAGCTATGGGAGTGCTCTTCAGTGTGGCAGGAGGTAAGAAGGGCTGTGGTGTATTGGTCTTGTTGGGGTAAGGAATCACTGAAGGGGGAAGAATGCTGTTCTTGCTATACGTAGAGCACAA